AAAACTCCATGTCCAAATGATTTTAGTAGTAATTCTACCAAACACAGGATAGTATCAGTTCTACACAACCTCTTCCAGTAAGAAAGGAGGGAATGACTCCAAAGTTATCCCATGAGACCAGTATTGCCCGGATACCAAAATCAGACAAAGAAAACTATAACCTCATGACTAAATCCTGAACCAAATATTAGCAAACTGAATCCAGCAATATATAAAAAGAATAATACATCACCATCAAGTAAGGTTTATCCTCAGAAAGGCTAGTTTGGTCCTGGAAAGCTGATGAAGGGAATTCACCATATTAATGGTAAAGGAGAGAAACTGTATGTTCACTTTGATAAAATTCAGCATCCTTTCTGAAGAAAACTTCAGTAAACTAGAAACAGAAGTTCCTTAACTTGATAAAAAGACATCTACAAACCCCCCCCAAAATCATACTTAATGGTCCAAGGCTGAATGCTTTTTTCTCTAAGACTGACAACAAGGCAAAGACGTCTGCTCTCTCCATCTTACTCGACATCACAATGGAAGTCCTAACCATGGCACTGGGACAAAGGAGAAACAGAAGGTACACAGGTCAGAGAGCATGAAATGAAACTATTCTCTATTTTAAGATTACATGACTGTCCACATAAAAAAATCCCCCCAATCCTCAAAAAAGCTCCTGGAACTAGTAAGTGTATTTACCAAGGTAACAGATAAAAGGTTGATAGACAAAAACCAATTATGCCATGAATAGCTAGAAAACAGAAATTTAAAAACAGTAACATTTATAATAAAATACTCCCCAATGAAATTCTTACATGTAAGTCTAACAAAATATATGCGGAATCTGTATGATAAAGACTACAGCACACTACAGAAAATCGAATGTATTTACATTCATAGATGAGAAGACTAGACATCAAGACGTGAAAATGTCCTATTAAATCAACGTGATTCTAATCAAAGTTCTAGCAGATGCAGTTATAGGTATGTATAAACTGATATTTAAATTTATAAGGAAAGGTGAAAGAAATAGAACTGAAACGATTTTTACAAAAGAACCAAGTTGTAAGATTCCTACTACCTGATTTAAAGACACATCATAAGCTACACTAATCAAGACAGCGTGACAACGACAAAAAGACCCATAAGTCAAAGCTGGTTTGGTCCTGGAAAGCTGATCAAAGAATCCAGAAATAAACTCACACATAGACAGTCAAGAGATTCTTTTTTAACAAAGGCACAAAGGAAATTCAAAAGAGAAAGGATAGTTTTTCCAACAACTGGTGTAGGAACCACTGGATATCAAGATGCAAAAAGTAATGAGCCTCAACCACACAGTACACCTTCTACAGAAATTAATCCAAAATGCATCATGGGGGCGGCGTCCACAGCTCAGTGGTCGGGCGCCACATACACTGGGGCTGGTGCGTTCGAACCTGGCCTGGGCCTGCTAAAACAACAATGACAACTGCGACAACAACAAAAATAGCTGGGCGTTGTGGCGGGCACCTGTAGTTCCAGCTACTTGGAAGGCTGAGACAAGAGAATTGCTTAAGCCCAAGAGTCTGAGGTTGCTGTGAGCTGTGATGCCATAGTACTCTACCCAGGG